CATTATTACTTTTTATTAATATATACAAGCCAAAGATATTATATTGCTTATATTTATACATCTTTTTAATCCCAGGCGTACTTAGGATATTCGAAATGCTAATTCCTAGAATTTCAATTAACTTTGATTTTTGGTCTGGTTGAGCTTATGACAGGTTCGAAAATTGCGCTAGCTATTATATTAAAAAATGTAAAAGTATTTTTGGCACTGCTTTTAATTTAATAAATGCTCGCACTGACGTCATTTGTTGTTCTTGTTGTTGTCTTATTTATTTTTTTGTGTTTTGGACAAATGTTAAAGCAAGAAAAATGTTTGCTTGCTGTCGCGTTGTTATTTGCGTAGTCGTTGCTTTCATTTTAGCTGCCGATCGTGTGATCTATAGTATAACTACTATATATGAGCTCGAGACATTCTTTTCCTAGCATTAATTAGAACTTTTAAAATAAATTAGCAATTGGCACGAGATAAATTAAATTCTCCCTTCAGATTTTAGAGTGGGTTTTACATGTTATTATTTATTTTATTTTAAATATTAATATTAATTTTATTTATTTTATTTGTATTATATAATTTTTTGTATCAATTTTTTATTTATTTGTAATCATTTTTATGATTATTTATTTTTTTTATACAAATATATATATATATATTTTGTTTATTATTTGCATTATTTTTTGTTTTATTTATTTTGTATTATTATTATTAGTGGTAATAAAAACGAGCGTGCTCGATTTGACTGCGGCTGCAACTGTAAATTAAAACAACGCCGAAACACGCAACAAAAATTAATTGTCTAACACCAAATAAACTATACAAAACATCGACGACGACTCAGAAGCAACAAAAAATAGAGAGAAAGAAATAATAATAAAACTGGGCGTGTGCCCGGCTTAATGAAATGCTCTTGGCTTTGCCGGTGGGGGTTGGGGATGAGGTGTAGGGGTGACTGGGACTATGGCTTACTCCAAACAGTTTGGGCGACTCTCTGACACACCTACAACACCAACCAATTCCAATTCCAATTCCAATCCCAATCCCAATCCAAATTCGAATTCTAGAGGCAATGGCACTAGCATATCTCAGGGTCATGTGGTTCTGCGGTTCGTCTGCTAATTAAGCGAGCAAAATAAAAAGCAACAACAACAGCGAAAGAGGGGAAAACAAAAAATTAAATTAAAAAAGAAAACGAAACAAATTCAAATACAACATGATAAACAATTAATTTTGATTAGCCGGCCAACGCCGCACAATTAAGAATGTGAAAGAATGAAAAGCAAAAGTGTTGTCCGAATAAGAAATCAATAACACTGTCCAGCACATTTAAGCACAGAGCTCCAATCGAGCGCATTTATGTATATGGAGCACACACACACACACACCCCCACAACCAAACACACATACACACTCACACGTGCTGGTGCTTTAAGGGCTTGCTAAAATGGCGGCCATTGTCACCACACACACACACACACACACACACACACACATACAGGGGCACACACAGACAGTCGCACCTATAATTCTTGCAGTCTGGCGCTGGTCAGTTTTAGGCGCCGTTAGATAAACTCCCCAACAGCAACAAAAACATTGAAATTGCCGCCTAAACTGAACACCTAACGAACGTACCACTATTTGAATCTATCTAGCCCACTCGCACTCGCACACTCTGTGGGCCAACTGCATCTGTGTGGCGCTGCATTTGGCTACAGTTTTCGGTTTCAAGTTCAGGCCAAAAATGTTTGCGCAAATGTTTTGGTCAGTTTTTGCCAGCCGCCCACTTTTTTGGCTGCCCGTTAGGTTGACACATGCGTGCGTGTGTGTGAGTGTGTGTGTGCGTGTGTTTGTGTATGCTCAACTATAACAACGAGCACAGTAACTGCCTAATGCAAGCTTAAAGTGCTGCACAAACTCTTGTAGGCCTTAAAGCCAACAATTGAGTCGAGTGAGTTGTTGCTGTCGTTGTAGTATTAGTTGTTGTTGTTGTTGGCTCGATGACTTAATGTCTCGCAATCACGACAAAAGCACACACACACACTTATACATATATAGATAACACATATACACACACACACACACACACAGAACAAGGACAACAACAGAGACTCAGCAACGTGGTTGAAACTCGTCCCGTCGTCCTCCCGTTGTCCCATTGGCCATGTGACTGCTGCGCCTGTCACTGACAGCTAGCGCCCCGCACCGCCCCCGCTCGCTCGCATTGTATGTGTGGCCCGCAAATACATAAATTTTTGAAGGATTTCGGCGCTGAACTTGTCAAAATCAGACGACAACACCAACAGAGCCAACAGAGCCAACATTGCCATATACACACGGAGCTCCCGTTCGCGTCCCCTGATTGCTGGCTGTGGGCTATTGATTCACCCATCGGTAAAGAGAGGAGTGTAGTGTACATACAGACGGACAATGCGAGAGCAGAGCTTGCGACGCGCTCAACAAGGTCATTGGCTCGGGTTCGTTTGGGGCCCGCAGATGATCATCAATCAAATGGGGGAAAGCCTTAAGTCTTCGGTGCCGGGTCTTAAGTGTGTTTGCCTGTTCGATTTTTTGGCGCGTTCGGTTACAAAAGTAACAAAAGTCCGCTCATTTGGGCACTGCCATTGGGAATGGGATTCGGGAGTGGGATTCGGAATGGCAGATGGGGAACGCGCGGGGAATACGCGCCGCTCAATTCCCACATTACTTATGTACAAGTACAAATTGTGGTAATTTTCAGAGATCTCTTTGTTGGCGATTTTGTTTGTGCTTTGCTTTGTTTTCTTAGCTGTGGCTATAACTGTGACTCTGCCAGTGTCTGTGGCTCTGCTCCGCTCTGGCGTTTGGTGGTGCTCCACAATTTCCTCATTTCTAAAAGCAACGTTGCCTGCGAGCTGCTTTGTATATTCGCTCATTCGCTGCTGGCTCTGCCACCAACACTAAAATTAGCATAACAACTTTATAGTTTAACTGCTCGACTGCCTGGGTCTGGC